TTTGCTCATCAGATGAAAAGATACAACCGGCAGCTGCTGAAGCCTTTGTTAGAGTTCTCAAGCAGCATAATCCGAAACCTTAAGTTGTGTTCATGCTGCTTGACAGTCTTAGGTGCCTTGCTTTCTTCCTTAACATTTTATCCCCACAATCCTTAAAATTAATCAGGAATGTCGAGAAAAGTATTCTTTCCTTCATGAATTTGTGTGTGTACACGTGCAAGAATCTGAGCACGTATATACATGCTTACTGGGAGTCTTGATTTTTATTGGCCAAGAGGAAGGATGAGTTGCACACACACTGGGAGTCTTCATAATCTGCAAATTCTACTTCTTAGTTGTGTTAAATTAAACAGTTGTTGCACCTGCTTACCACTAATCTCATTTCCTTCCAGCAACCTAAGTCAGGGTCTAGCTGATGCAGAAACTGGAGCCCATACAGTGGAAGGTGTGGCACTTTCTTTTCTTTGCCATACCTTGACATTTTCATTTCTTCCCATTCTGTTGTTTCAGAAACTATGTGCTACTGCTGTGGTTTATGCATTGCTTTCACTCCTTTAATTGCTGAAATTTGGTCATTAAGGATGCATTATTTGATTAATACTTTAAAAGCCTGTAAGAGCTATGAAATCTAGTTGTCTAATCTTTGTGTGCGTGTGGGTGTAGCTACAAATTTTGTTGTATTTCTTTTCGAAATGGACTTTGCAATTTGATATCTGTTTTATTTTCTGTTTGGGTTCTGAATACACAGGAATTTTTGAAATCTCCTTTCAGTTATTTTTTTCCTTGTTCTTTGCTTGCTTTTCCTTTTAACCTCCTTGTCAATTTATTAAGTTTCAACTATTCAAACTTCAGCATTTTATTTCTTTGCAAGTTTCTTTGGTTTCTTTGGACTAGAATACTACCCTGGATTTTTTTTGTTTATCATCTATTTATACGCTTGTGGCAGGATCAAATACAGACTGTGATAGGGTGCTCAGACTGATCCCGGAGTGGTCTAAAACTGTAAGAATTATAATTATAATGCTACTATCCATTAGATGCATATTTTGCTATGATATTTCCCTTTTTGTGATGCATTGGGATGCCATATATCTCTTAAGCACAGATACAGAGACTAGTCATGTGAAGTGCTACACTTTAGAGCTGTGCCACAGGTTTTCTCAAAAAATTATGATTTGAGTAATAACTTCATATGTGGAAACATCCATATATCCTATCAATTTTTATCTACAGAAACACACACATACGTATAGGCATATACAGACATAAAAACATACATATTTCCGATCATGGTGAATTCTTGTTTTCTGAATAAAAAAATGGGAAAGAAAAGAGGTGAGAATAGAGCAAGGCAAAATGAACAGTCTGGTTTCCTAGGAACTTGACTATACTTCAAGGGAAGAAAAATTTTAATTATTTGGACTGTTTGGTTAACTCACTCCTAGTCTCGCTCAAAATTGAGCCTAATATCCACACCTATTCTAAGCGTTGAGTGGGATAGGCTGAGTCTTCTGCCTTATACCCTTTTATCTCCGACATATCCCATACAAATCACTATTTTTAATCTTAAGTATCTGTCATATATATATCCAAGCATATTTGAGGCAGATTCTGTTCAATATGTTATCTAAGGGGGTTGAAGTGTGTGTGCACAGTGGCTGCATGGCGTTTCCTGCACTAGGGGAAAATTTTTCTATGTGCATCTTATGTCTTTTGATCTTCTTTAGATCATTAGTGGCCAAGTAGCGAGAAAATGTGTCTCTTTGTTGTCATTAGTTGTGCCTACTATTTTAATCTTGGCCTTTGCTAAAATTTTAGATTGTTTGTGCCTAATATTTAATTCCATTAAGATTTTATTTGCTTTGTCATTTTTACCCTTTCTCTTCCTGACATAAAGACTTCTTGGTTGCAACTTTAATTGAAATTGCTGAAACAATTTCCTGGCATATTTACTACTCGCAACATTTATAGCATTTGAATTATGGCCATGGAAGGAGAAGGGAATAGAGGGATGGCATAGTGGTATGATGTCCTAAAATTTGAGGTCCCTTTCTCTCACGCACATGCAGCATGCATGTGTGTTTAGTGCACTCATAAATGTAACCAAAGATGCTTGTGCATGATGATAGCTGAGGTGTTATTAGCACTCAATCAAACAAAGCTCAAATTTTGGACAATCAAGTTTAATACTTTTTGAATTCCAAAATAATTTATATGCCTTGCTGGTTTAAGAGAATATGGCCCTGGACTGGGCCTAGTGGGAAAAAAGGATGTGTGTAGTTGGGCCAACTGGCTCGAAATCATGTTTGATTTGGGTTGGGTTGAGCTAGTCCAATTGTTGACTTCAATGTGGTGCGTTTGTCACAGGGGTTTTCTCTTGACCCGTGCGGCCTAGCCTTTGCCTAACTCAAGGGCTCTTAGAAAGGCTAGCAGCCTTCTCAATTGGAACAAGTTAGGATCGTTTATGGCAACACAAGCAAGAAGAGAGAGCTTGGGAACAAAGAGAGAGCTTTTATTTCATAGAATTTAAGTACATGAGTCATTAGCCTCAAATGAGGGGGCTCAAGTGGTATTTATAAGCCTTAGACCCCTTGGAGCAGTTACAAGGCCATTCCTAATGGCTAGGGGCTGTTTTGAGCCCTGCTCAACCCTCCTGACGTGCCCCAGCCACTGTTCCCAACGGTAGGCAACGGCTGCCCCGCAGGCCTGGGCTGGCCAGTGGTTTCCGCGCATCAGACAGACTGCCTGGGCAGCCTGCGCCCCACAGTTTCGCACAAGTCTGCCTGCTCTGCTGTGCACCCTTTTCCTTCTGGCCCGCGTGCCCAGTCTGCTTCCGGGTGCCAATGCCTTCGAGCCACAATGCTGTCTTGGCACCGAATCAGAGTCCCAGGCCTTGTTGCTTGCCCATACTCGAACTGGCTCACCTACTCTCGAGCCTCAATCCCTTGCCATCGAGCTGGCCCGCCCTTCACCACAAAATGGGCGTGACACGTGTACTATGTTATTCCTTTTGTTGGTTCTGTACTACCTGACAATGAAAACAATTGCCTGACCCATTAGCTCCTCTCTGCATGCATGCTTATGATTTTCATCTGTTTCCTTGTATGCATGTCCATGAAATCAGATGGTTGGAGGTCCATTTTTGCCCCAGTATTTGAATATTTTAACTGTCTGGTTTTTCTGACATATTTAGGTTCGAGACTGGAACTTCTTGATTGGACCCATGATTGACAACATGTTTGCAGTGCCATCAAATGCTACTATTGTCCGGTTTCTGAGTCACATAAATGAGCAGTTAGCAGAAGCCGCTGATGTAGTCCTTCATCGAGTTTTGTTGCAGATGAAAGGACAGAAAGTGTAAGCACATAATTGTCCAAATTATTTTCATAACAGCATGCATTTTTTCATAGCTTTCTAAAGGCTTGTTTAACTTCAAAAAGAATGAAGTATATTGTGTAAGGATAATGGCATTGAAGCCATGGGAGATGACTATTCTTGAGGAGCTGGAATGTGTAATAGGAGAGTAAGCAAGTAGTATGATAGGAAAAGCATGTGTAAGAGAAGGAACTGTTCCCATAAAGGAGGGTAGGTTTGATCTCAGTCAGGGAAGGCATGGCAGGAATAGAGTGGGCAGCTAGGAACTGTAAGCAAGGTGTGGAAAGACGTAGAGAATATTAAAATTAGGGAAATGGGAAAGATTTTAATTAATAGCAAGATGTTCAATAGAAAAAATGAGAGTCAAAAGAATCGTTGGGAGTGGTAAAAGTAGATGTACATATTGGTAATGGGTGACCTAACTAATGAGACTTCTTTATAATGTGTCTCAGCCAATCAAACAAAGAATACATGGTGGAACCACCAAGAAATAGAAAGTGTGGGCACATAAAACTTAAAAATAACAAATCTTCTTTGCCAGTTTACCTTTTTCAATGTATTGAATAACTGGTTTCTAGTATTCGGTTAGAGTATGTTAAATTTTATCATAAGCTAAGTAGCATGAACACCTTTTTTTTTGAAAAATAACTAGCATGAACACCTTAACAAAAGGGCTGAGTCTGTATGGGATATAAACACTTATTCAACACTCCGGGACAAACTTTTTCACATACTTGAGATCTGTCGTTTGTTTGACCAATAATGATTGATTTTGCAATAACTTAACATGGTTTGATTATTACGTTTCCTTTACCTTAAATGATTTTTACTGGAGAGAAAAGAGTCTATGTAGTTGCAAACTGCAGTTTTATTCTTTAGGAGATTGTGATTGTTTTTCTTATCAACTTAATTGTAAATTTTCACTCATTATTTTCTTTTAATTTATTGAAATAATTTCCAGAAGCCAAGAGGCTAGTCTATTCTACTTCAATACAATGTTTCCTTTTATCCATTTGTGGGTCATTAAGGAGATTAATTTATGTCTTGGATAAAATCCTGTTGCATGGAACACATTTTGCATGACATCTGAAATGAACAATTCCATGTTGATCACACTGTTTTCTTGTTTTGACTGCTCAAAATTTTCCCTGTAGCATGATTGACGAAGCTTTCTTCTCTGGATGGGAGACAAGAACCTGTACAAGTGATGACTCCATGACAATGCAGCAATCTTTGTTTGAGCAACTTTGTCCCTTACTCGTAATTAGGTGGCTTCCGTTGAGAGTATTTAATGATCTAAATTCCTCTGTCATGTATGGCCGACTTCATAATCAGGGTATTATGCATGGTACGATTTGTAATTGCTGTAAGGTCATCATTTTTTCTCTTCTTATGACAATCCAAGTGTTATATTCAACTTTTTTTTTTTATGGAATGAAGATCTGATTGACTCAACTGCATTGTGATTTATTACAAAAATTAAATTCTGTACATTCTATTTATTCACGAGAATGTGATATGTGGGTATAAAGTGGTAATTGCTTGAATTTTATACTCCCCCTTTTTTTATCTGAAGGAAAACAATCTGTATTTATGCATATGTCTTTTGCTTGTTCTATTTTTTACTCTATTGCAGAATATAGTGATGTCAGCAGCATTGATGACACGAGTATTGCTACTTTCCTCTTGCATAGGTCAGCCCTTGAAAATAAATATTATTAAAACTTCTGTTTTCTGATCTAAAATCTCATGATGTCTTATTACTTTCCCTGTTTCAGGGCCTTTAGTAAGTTTGAATTTGAAGATGTGTACGAAAACTTGCTGCTGAGCTTTGTGGATGTATTCATCCTGAAGTACACAGCAATGACTTTACTTAACTATCTGTTATCACTTCATTTTTCCTTGACATATTCTGGGATTTTGCATATTTCCTTAATCTTCATATAGGGATTTTATCTTTTTGGCCTTTTGGTTCTTTAGGTTCTGCTTCCAATTGTTTGCTCACAATTAGAACATGCTGCAGATTCTCAAGATACATTGAAGATTAAAGGTTGCCTGTTTTCACTGTGTACATCCCTTGTGGTAACTATCTTTTCTTCTTGGTAGATATCTGTTGCCAATATGGTGTATTGTAGAGTTTCTGTGGTCATCTTCTGCTATGAATCTAAGCACGTGTTCCATTCAAGCTGCAGTTTAAAGTGAAGGTTTCTTCTTGTTTCTAGGTAAGAGGAAAGGAATCACTTGTGCATTCTTTTATTATTGAAATCCCGAGAACCATAGAAGTGATTCTGTTTTGGCCTTCGTTTGATGGTGATGAAGGTACTCAACCATGCAATTCATTAGTTCCCCCCCAAACCCAGCCGAAGAAATGTGTACTAATCCTTCAATGTCTCAGTTTCCAAAGCCCAACATGGGTGCATTGATTGTCTGGCATTGATGATATGTGCCCAGTTGCAAGCTCCTGAATTGTTTAAAGACCGCACCTCGTTGAGGAGCAACATTGTTGGGAAGAAAAGCAATCCTGGTCGGTATTTTTTTCTTGATATGAATATTTATTCTACATAATGCTGCAAATATCAACTCTTTGGTCAAATTGTAGGGGATGCTGCCTCGAGACCCTATATCCTTAGATATGCAATCCAGCTATTAATAAATGATAAAAGAGAACTTAAACCTGCGTCGAAGTTGGGTGATGAGAACTGTGAAACTGAGGCACCAATTCCCCACTCCTTTCGTCTGTGCATGGCTAATGTTCTCATCAGTGCTTGTCAGAAGATATCTGATTATTGCAAAAACCCGCTTGCAAAGACAATTCTTCCATGTCTCATTGATTCAGTTGAGGTACTTCTATCATTAAATTTGTTAGTCTCTTGTAGTTTGCAATTGCTTTAGTTTCAAAAACTGAGGCTGATCTTCCAATCACATTTTATCTGGCTTTTCTTCTACGTGGAAATTATGTAGGTAATAATGCAGCCAGAGATTAAAGCTGCTTGCATCCAGGTTCTGTTGTCTGCTGTTTATCATCTGAAGTCTGCAGTCCTTCCTTATTTGTGTTATCTTCTCAAACTTTCTTTAAAATCCCTTGGAAAGGGATTAGAAAAAGGTATCATAACCTCACTATGGTCAATTCTTTTTAGATAGCTATTTCTGCAAATGTGACCTGTTCCATAACTAAATACCTTACCTTCAATTCTAGTTGGGTTCAAAACCAATTGATAGTCAACTCAGACTATGAAAGAGAAGATAGTTTTAGAAATTCAGTAATCTCATACAATGAAAGAGAACATTACTCTGGAAATTCAATAATCTGCACTGCTTTATCCTGAGGGGACTGCTATTTGACTTGTGCAGAACAATTTCAGCATGCTTTTTTTTTAATGTAGATTTATTCCATTTTATTGAGTATCTTAATTTCAATATGTCACACTCATGCATGTGACTTGATTTGGAAGGGAAATTGTTATGGTAAATTAGAATGAAGCAAAATAGACAAATTAAGTTGACTGACGGCGACAATACTTCATTTTAATCCCCCTCCCTACCCAACTGTGTTTGTTTTTTATTCCCCCCTCCTGACTTGTTGGAATGCATCAGAGTTGATTTAAGCTGGTGCTGATTGGCCACTTGTTGTTCATCAGGAAAGGATGGCTGGTGCAAAGCTGATGACTTCTCTCATGGGCGGTGAAGATTCAATTTTGGAGAGTATAGCTGATGGATTAGTAGAAGCAAGA